TGGATGTGGATAGAGACTTATATCCCAAAGTCTTGTAGTCTCTCATTGCGTAGTCTTCTTCTGATGTATTTGGCGTGGATGCCGTGTATTCACTCTCTGATAATTCTAGGTCAGCCTTGAGTAACTCTATAGTTTCATCTAGTACCGGCCTGAATTGTTTGCAAGGTGGTCCCACTGTAGTTATCCCATGTCCTGGTTTCACTCTGAATTTCACTTGATCTAATTGTGTTTTCGTAAGCGCCGCAAATGGGCGTTTGTTGTCCCGTTTGGTTGCCTGTGCTCTGGTGTGGTCTACAAACTTCTCCGGTTCCACGTGGTATCCCGGGTGTTTGTCCTTGAGGTGTTTCTTGTACGTTTCCTCTCTCCCATAAGAGCGTTTGCAGAGTTTGCATTTATACCATGTTTGTATGAGACCATGTGCTATGTCCGCATGTCTCCGTAAATTCCTGAGATTAATGTACGTCTTCCCGCATCTGATACACGGTAGACTTAGTTTTTTGCCTGTAGTATTACGTTTGCGGCGGGTTGTCTGTTTCGTGTTGGCCATCAAGCTATAATGTTTAAACCTTCTGGTTGAGTTGTACGTAGCATACGAATCCAACTCTCTTCTGTTCTGAGACGACGGTTGGTATCCGTGACGTCCTTAACAATACCCGTAACTATGACGTTATGTATGTTATGATCGGGAGACGTGAAATGTCCCGCCACCGGTTTGTCCGGGTGTTTGTGAATGATACTATATAAATGATTGCGAATGCGTGTATTAATCGTCGTAGATAGTTGTCCGACATACTGCATTCCGCATCTGTTACATGATATTAAGTACACGGCATTCACACTTTGGCATGTGATGTGGCCCTGTATTTTGTATTCTATTTTATTAGTATGACTGTAGAAGCTGTTCGTAGGTTTCATGTGTACGCAGATCCTGCAGTTCTTGTCGCAGGGTCCACTGCCCGGCCGGGCAGAGTCACGACAGATATCGCTTCTTACTAATATGTTCCTAATGGACTTCGGTTTTGTGCAGGCGACAAACATTTTGTATTCTAATAGACCCCTGGTTCCGGGCCCCTGTCCTAATATGTGTTGGTATTATTTGAGAAATTGTCCGATAGGTGGGTTCAGTGGGTTATGTTGAATGACGAAAGGTATAACCTTGCGTTCACTTTCCTTCCATTCTAGGTTTAGTAGTTCTTCTCTGGACTTGGTACGTGCATTGTTAATGGCTTCTGTTAATAAGTTTAAAGGATATCCTCTTTTCAAGAACCTCTCTATGAGATTGGCGCATTCATGTTCATAGTGTATTGGGTCACTGCATGTTTTTTTAATGCGTAATGCTTGCGAATACGGCAAGATTTTGAACATATTTGATAGCCCTTCATCCATCATGTTATGGGCCAAATATCATCATCCTGCACCTTTTGGTTATTCTTCAGAAGTTGTTTAAAAGTTTCAAACATATTTGACCCCTGTGACCTTGAATATAAGTCCCGGTCATTCATTTAAACAAACTTTGTAGCCCTTCATCCTAGCATGCTACTGGCCAAATATCAACATCCTATGCCTCTTGGTTATTCAGAAGAAGTTGTTTGAAAGGTTTCACACATATTTAACCCCTGTGACCTTGAATATCTGTCAAGGTCATTTATTTGAACAAACTTGGTAGCCCTTTATCCCAGCATGCTACTGACCAAATATCATCATCTTAGGCTGTTCGGTTATTCATCAGAAGTTGTTAAAATGTTTTACACATATTTGACCGCTGTGACCTTGAATATAAGTCAGTCATTCATTTGAACAAACTTGCTAGCCCTTCATCCCAGCATGTTACTGGCCAAATATCATTACCCTAGGCATCATGGTTTATATTCAGAAGAAGTTGTTTGAAGGTTTTACACTTATTTGACCCCTGTGACCTTGAATATTAGCCAATGTCATTCATTTGAACAAACTTGGTAGCCTTTCATCCAAGCATGTCCCTGGCCAAATATCATCACCCTGGGCCTTCTGGTTATTCAGAAGTTGTTGAAAGAATTTATTATACCTCCGCAACGAAGTTAGGGGGGTATACTGGAATCACCCTGTCTGGATGTCTGTCTGTCTGTCGTCCGCAGTAACTTGTCCGGGAACCTCCTCCTTAACTAACAGGTGGATTTCATTGAAACTTTTCATGAATGATCGGTATCTTAAGCAGTTGTGCACCGGCATTTTAATTTGGGATCTCGACCCTTTTTGATGGAATTATGCCTGTTTGTGCGAAATACTTGTTTTATTTAGATAAGCAAAAGCATGGGCCCCAAACGTCTTGTTTATACAGTGGAGAGCTTGTCAGGCTGGTCCCTAGAAGTGGAGAAGATATCTGTATTACATCTTTATATTGGAGGAGATATCTGCATTACATCTTTCAGCAAAACCCGTTCATATGGGCTAACACGTTTTGGTTTGCAAGTATGTTTTGGCATTGAGAGGGAGTACAGGAAGTATGTGAGTGGCCTATATATACTTAAATAAGTGTACAGCTCAGTCAATAAAGAAATCATTACTGGTGGGAGACTATATTGCTATGCATTAATAAGCCTTTAGCTTACAGTTCTGGTTTATATAGGAGCGGGGTATTAGTTAGCCTTTGGCTTACAGTTCTAGTTATATTTGACCCCTGTGACCTTGAAAATGGACAAAGGTCATGCATTTGAACAAAGTAGGTAGCCCTTCATCCCAGCATGCTACTGGCAAAATATCATCAGCCTGCACCTCTTGGTTATTCAGAAGAAGTTGTTTAAAGTAAAAAGTTGACGCAGGACGGACGACGGATGACGGACGATGCACCACAGCATAAGCTCACTTGGTCCTTTGGGCCAGGTGAGCTAACAATCCGATGTTTATGGAATAATAAAAGTATTATTTCATTGTAGGTATATCCAGCATTAAAGTATTACATCACATGATAATTTCTAGGATAGCTATTGGTTAACTACCCTGGTTCTATTTGGTATAGTTAGCATTCGTCCTTGCCAACAGGAACTATAACTGGAGACGGGCACTATAAGGATGTTTGTACTATAATTGTGGAATCTTAGGCCCCCCCTCTCCCCTCTCTTTCTCTCTCTCTTATACTATCGATTTATAAATTTAAAAAAATGTATATTAATTAAGTCTGCCATTTTATCTTATTGTAAATATATGCTTGTAATTTGCTGGGAAAGGGCTTTATATAAGTTTTAATAACTTGTGTCCAATCCATTTGCTTGGCAATAAAATACGTTTAAACTAAACTTTTGACAGGCGCCACTTTGCAGTCGGCAAAATCATATTCGATAGAAAAAAGGCCGACCAGCAGCCTCTTATATTAAAAGCAGTAACTATAACTGCAGCTAGCGCCACGGAGCCACGGAACTCCAGTATAATGATAGGAGGTCCATAGTCTCATGAAAGTTCAGCGAGCTATGCTTTCTTTTCAGACATGATAAACCAAACTGATAGCCATGTAAAAACTTTCCAGTAAACTGCTAAACAAGTTAAGGCTAAACGTCCGGACTCTAGGCGTTTCGGTTCCAAGTTGTGCGACTCTTTTCACGAATTTTGTGGTGCCACTATTTCCGGAAACTGATGACCAAATAATATGGTATTAAGAGGTTTGGCTCTTTAGAACAAGAAATTCCCAGAGATCTTGGCACCAACCATCATACCATCTTCATTAGTTATATACCAGTTAATTTTACCTGGCAGCCATCTTGTTCTTCCGATTAGACTCAAATAAGGACTAAAGGGAACCTTCATGTGAAATTTGAAAAAGATCCCTCCAATACTGTGTGAGAAATGACTCTAACAAACTATAACTCCCAAATTCAATATGGCCACCTGTCGGCCATCTTAGCTTTCTAATCAGCCCCTTATTCCAAAAGGCGTAACTAGGAATCATGGGGACCTCTAATATGAAATTTGAGCAAGATCCCTCCAGTACATTCTGAGAAATAGAGCTAATAATCTTTAACTTTTTAATTCAAGATGGCTGCTTTGGTTTTCCCATTAATCCCAAAATTTGATATGCCTACCGGTAACTTAGGGACTGGGAAACATTCATGTGAAATTTGAGAAAGAACGCTTCAGTACTTCAGGAAATATAGCGCTAACAAACTTTCACTCTCAAATTTAAAATAGCTACCTGTCATCCATCATGGTTTTCCTATCAGTCCCAAAATTTGAAATGCATAAATATGGACAATCATGGGGAACCTTCATGTAAAGTTTGAGAAGGATCCCTCCAGTACTCTCTAAGAACAAGGCTTACAAGAATTGTTTAAGAACAGACAGATGGATGGTGATTTAAAAAGCCCACCAACTGATGTTGTTGGGCTCAAGTCATTTGAATGTTTTAACAAATATGACCAGTTGACATGTGATATTAAACAAGTTAGGTTAATTCCTTTACAAACTTTGTTAAAATACATATCAGCAAGCTACTGGCCAAGCATCATGACAAAAGGCCTTTCATTTCTTCAGAAGTCGTTTCAGCGTCTTAAATACCAAATCTGATCCTATAACCTGTAATATGCCAAAGGTGGATTCATTTTCATAAACTTTGTGGTACTACACGTATATTTTAGCAAGCTAGTGGCTTTATATGATAACTCTAGGCCTTTTAGTTCTTCATAAAAAATACATTTGTATTAGATTTTGACCCCAGTGACCTAAAGTATGGGCCAAAGTTACCCGGTACTAAATGTTTGCAGTTCTTAGCACTCCATGCCAGCAACCACCAGGTCGATTCTTCAAAAGTTAGTATTTTATATATTTGACACTTGACCTAGAATTTAGGTCAAGGTCACTTCTATAGTAGCCCTTATTGCCAGAAAGTTATTTGCTATAGGAATCTTCATTCTTTAGAAGAAACCATTTGAGAAAGTTACCGAATTGGACCTCTAATCTTGAATATAACTTTTCTTCTCTTTATCCAAAAAAGAACATCTTGGACATAATATATATATAAAATAACACAGAAATATATCATTAATATTTTAATATAAATGGTGCACTAAATTTAGGCACTTTTTGCTTCAGCAACCATACATGTTAATAGCACAGTATGACATGTATTGTTAAATTGGTTTTAATTGAGTTTTATATCACATAATTGTTGTTGTTGTTCAGGAAAGAACAGAACTGATACATGGTATGTATACACAGAGTAATCAGATTAACAGCTGTATTGATAACACATAAGAGGAAGCATTGGTATGCTTGTGTAACTAGTACTTGTAAATAACTTATATATGTACAAATCACCAAGGTAGTTTTAACTGCAGGTAGTGTAACTGACGATGAGACATGCACTTTGTGAGGTGACCTCTGAACCCCGGTTCTATTTTCCCCATTCAAGGTCAACATGGTGTCTGTAAGTTTTTGTTTATTGATAGAGTAAATGATTATTTACAAATTAATATATCATACATTTGAGGTTAATAATTGTCAATCTACCATCTCCCATTTCAAATAATTATCCTTAATAAAAGACATGGTGAAATCCAGTACCTTTACCTTGAGACTAATCGGTGATAACAAAATACTAAGGAATTTCATAACAGATTCTTTGAATTAAACAAAACAGGTGAACATACTCGAATCTAGTTCATTGTTCTAATTATTGTCTAACTAGAAATGACAAGACACTGCAATAATCTATTCTATCTCTAAACATCAAAGCTTGGCAGTGAAATAGTAGCAGTGGATTTCTTGGAGATGTAACCTGAATCGAAGTGTCATACAGAAATATTACAGGGGCAAGGATGTGCGGTCAAGATCGTCCGAAACAGGATGCTCATTTTGGAAATCAGAATGATCGGTTTTCAGTATGAGGAAACAACTGGTCATTGACAATTGGTATGTTCATGTCCAGAATCCTGGCATTTTGAAGACAAATCATCAATATAGTTCTTCACATATTGTGTGATTAAAACTAATTCAAATACCAGCATTTCATAATTGAGAAATTGAATCTGGCTAAATTACATAATAAAAAGTTTGATCAAACATGATATTTGAGAATTTTTCAAAAAATATTAAAGAGGTTTACTCTAACGACGGCCATTTGAAAAAAGGAAATTACTGGCCAGGTTTCTGAGTTTTAAATACATGACCATGTATAGCCATTAATTCTACATTAAAAAACAGCAATATCGTGAACATGAACATCAGAAAACTCACAACCATGCAGACTGAAAATATTCAGCAAGAAAAAAAAATCAAATAAGGATCAACTTCTGATCAGTTGACAAAGAGATCTGAAATGTTTGCTAATACAGTAACAACAAAAAGATACATTGACTTTCAAAGGTCTATCATAGAAGACTTTTTAACTAATGGTTTTAGCTTGGTATAAAATATATACACATGATACAAATCCTAAAGATGCTAAGCATAGAATAGAAGCAATTACATAAGTAGTAAAGGAACTCAATCGGGGTATAACTCAATATAGCAACCTGTATTTGGAAAATGCCTATATTGGGGAAATCCTTTCATACTAACTCCCATTCATGCAAAATAAAAACAAACATTTATACACATGTACACACTCCCAGTACCCCAAATCAGCGTAGAATGCTGCAAGTCTCAGCAATAAGTCCGGTTGAATATCCATTATCATGGTAACACTCAATCGGAACTTTACCGCATGAAAAAGGGCTATTCACGCAGACTTGTCAAATTTTCTGTTCCGCAAAGTTCAAATATGACTGAAATAATTGAACTATTGTGTCTTTAACAAAATATAACACGTAATATCAACAGTTACGCATACAGTGGCAGCACCATGATATATCAACAATATAACAAAACAAGTCCCTGTGAACACATTAGTGAAGCCAGTCTAGCCTCCAAACCACTGTGATATCAAATCAGCATAACTGCATATAAGCAGTATAGTTACAGTATCAACCAGGACTACTCCTGTATCAGTATAGTTACAGTATAAACCAGTACTCAGAGATGAGATTTGGGCCTTAACATCACAACCCTTTGAGTCTGTCTGAAACCAAGTTTGACTGCAAGCCTCCATGTAATGCCATGAAGGAAATTAAAATTTGATCTCCGGTTAAGACAGACTCAACATGTTGGTGATATAGAGGTCTGAAACCTGAAGGATATACTTGACTGCACATTACTGGTTTGATTTGTGCAAGGGCTATATTTCTTGAATTAGCATAAATTATTAGCATAAATCTACATTTTTTTTCCACGATAAAGAATCAGTTGATTCATAGGCCTCACTGTTATCAAACCATATTAATTTGAGCGAGTCCCATTACTTTATTTTGACAGATTAACCACAAAGAACTCTTTTTGATAGCAGGTACAAGTCATGATTTAGGTCGAGTAAATCTTCAACTCCGTACCAGTATTCAGTACATGATTTAGGTCGAGTAAATCTAACTCCGTACCAGTATTCAGTACATGATTTAGGTAGAGTAAATCTTTAACTCCGTACCAGTATTCAGTACATACATTTTTTAAGGTTGATTATGATAAAATAACAGCCAGGTAAAAATACATCTATCACTTTTATTTATGTGAATTCAAAACCCAAAAAATAACTTCGTTACTGCACAATTTCGAATTTTTATCTCAAATAAATCTTCATTATGGAAATAGAGAGATTTACAGTAATTCTCCAAACTCTGCAAAATGTCGCATAATTAACTCTATTGGCTATCAGATTCTAATATGTTTTTTTTTATATTACCATACAGGTTGGGGGGGAAAAGCCGGTCAAGATATGGAGAAAATACATCCACAAGAAAAGCTGCAGCATAATACTTAACTCAAATCTAAAGTTCAACAAAGTCTAAAGCAAGATTACATAGAGGAAGTTTACAACACCATCGACAGTAACGAAAATATAAATAATTTCTCTGCTTTACTTGTTAGCACTTTAATAATAGTAAGTTATAAAGTCTGATGATCTACACTACTCCAATGGGAGGGTTAAAAAACAAGTCATTACAAACGATAGTATGGAATGCATTAATAATTAATTAATCTAATAATTACAAAACACTCTTTGAATTTTATTTCAAACTTAACAGGGAAGTGCGTTTCATGAGTATATTTATACGTGAGCGTGTATCTACTGGGATATATCATACACTTGACATTTCACTTTTAACACAGTAATACATTAACACTAGAAGATCACACATAAAGACCTTACAGTACATAGAAGCAAACAGTACAAGAAAAGGATCTCTTTGTGCGTTTGTATGTTTGACAGGCTTTGCCAGTAGTTCTAGTTAATGAAACATTTTTATTTAAGTATCCCTTCCCCACCCAAAAAAACTACCGAAAGATTATTTTCTAAAAAGTATGATTTTCTCTTCTTACAAGAAAGAAACAAGCTTTTTTCAGGATAACAAAAGAAAATTTGATCAGTGAAAATTAAATTTGAACCTGTTTGAAAAAACGGATGTCTACAACACATTAATGTTGTATGATACAACAATGTTATCATTGTCAGCAGCAACAGCTTCACTGTAGACTGGAAAAATGTCTAAAAATATTGCACTTTTTTTTACGTTCCAACAATTGGGGAGATTCAACTGTGCTCAAAAGTGTGGTGAATTGTAGAGAGAACCCTGTGTCTCGACGGCCAGCAGTTCTCTTAGATGGGACAAATCTTTAATAAATTTGTTAGTTCACTTTCAGGAATTTTAATAATCTTACCTACACAAATTCCATAATATGTTGAATAATTTTGTATTCGTATTTTTATGTTCTTTAATCTAATACTGCCAAACATTGTTTTAATTCACCATCATAATTCTGAGTATCAAATCAATTTCATTCTTAATCAAGTTATTCAAATACAATTCTGTCTCAGTTGCTGGCTTTATGACCATTTAATTTACTGTTTTTAGTCAAAAGGATTTTAGAATGATCGTATATAAGATAATCGCATGTCACAAATTATATGCACAATGTACTGGTGAAATGGCAGAAATGTACAGCTTGTGACCACATTTCTAATATATTAAGTACTGTAATGATTTGGAATATAAAAACCATGATAACATGTGTAAACTTACTATTCTAGACTTAAATAATCCATAATTCACTTCCCGGATAGCTATGAGACAATCCGAAAATGGATCAATATAATTTGCTTTTTACCAAAACTGTTGTGAAGACTATGTTCCACATTAGCACTGTAACCAGGTCCTCCCGACAATAAGTAGATCAAGTGAAAACTTTATACAGCATATACAACACCTATGTAACAAGGACAGACACAATAAAACAGAAAACAATATTTACATCAAATTTGTTCATATCTCATATTTGCTGCATTCATTCTTACGTATTTCTCAGACCATGTACCGACTGGTTAGTACATATATACATTTACACTGGCTTTATGGGAAACAATCTACTGTAAACGTCTGTATTTTTGCAGGTCTGTAATTTCATGGCTGTGCTAAAATGGACAAAAACAGAGTCAAATTTTGGTGGATTTCAAAAACGTGAAAAAAAATTCTGTTAATTTTTACAGGATTTCTTTTGGAGAAATAAAATGTTACTGCTAGTTTTGCAAAAAGTGGATCCACACAAAAATAAAGACATTTACAGCATCATCAGATGGAACATGTGGTGGGTATTATGAGGAGAAAAAAAAATAGCTGGTATTTACAGTTTATATTTACAACATGTACAATCCATTGCAAAACCTGTCTTGTACTCACAAGATTTTCAACCAGAGGTGCCATGAACCTATTTCGCCAGAATGTATGTTTTGCTGGAGTTTAACTCCCATGTCTTCTCTCCAATGACCATGGTCAGGGCAGTATTTTGCTATTGGTTCACCCAAACCACACCGGTATTTTAAACCAATCCAGGTTTTCTTACATATTTATCTAATGAGGAGAAAATATCAACAGTAAAAATAGGTCCTTTTTGTTGGTGTTTTCTTTTCTGTACATTGGCAATGAAAAATGTCTATAACCATCTTGAATATTTTTGTATTGCATGTTCAAGGATATAACAACTGATAATAGCTGTATATTTTTATACTGCTTTTTTTACCTGGAATTTTGTATCTGTATCTTACAGTAACTAAATATATTTAAGGTTAAAAGAGTTGTATGAGCTAGGAACTATTCGATTGGCTGAGTCCACAATCCAATATCTCAACTGATGATGAATGATTGAGAAAGTAATCCTAATCCAAGTAAGCTTTGGGCTCTAATTCCAGTAACAATGATGATGAAGTGATGACTTGAATGATGATCTGACTGGTGTTGCCTCACACTGGCCGAGTGTTTGGAGGAAGTGTTGATGCTGACCTCTGATTGCCGACCTGGCGTTGCATGCCAAACGAGGAGTACTGTCTTGTGCCACGAGATGTACTGGGATAAAACAGTCAACAACAAATTAATGTTTTTGGTGATAAAATGAATAATGTTTCTAAAGTAAAATGAAAATATTGAATGATACCTTCAAGGAAAATATTGAATGATACCTTCAAGGAAGAAATTGATTTTTTTTTTAAACCAGTCAACAATTATGCAAAGCAAGGTTTCAAGTAACGTCACCTTAAACGTCTAACAACACTTCAGAGAATTGGTTTATATGGTATGGTATCCTATTAAAACTTAAGTGATATATTTATATATATATGTACAATAATATCTGAACTAATTACCCAAGATTTCCAGAACTGACTATTCCCTTCTTCGTAATCTTTTTACTCAGATGTGTAACCCAATGTTTCTGTTTATCAATCGTCTCAGCAAGTAACAACAGCTCCTTAGCCTGAATGTTCTGGTCGTAGTTCACTGCAAACAGAAAAGAACCATCACATTATACACATCATCAAGTCCGACAGATAATAGTTTTATCATTAAAATATTCTTTGTCTAAAAAGCAAATGGGTGAAATGCCGGTGTGGGAAGCAATGTTTTTTTTTTTAAATCTGTTGAGTGTTTGGAGTTCTGAAAGAACTGCCTTCTCCTATACAAGTTAATCTTACAAATTATTTTTTCACAATAAAGTAGAAGAAAGACAAAAACAGCACTATCTGAATTACATCAAGTGTTTTGAAATTGTTCTTATACATGTTTCGACCTTCAAAAGGGCCAGGTGAGCTAAAAATGAGTTTATGACAACCCTCCAAAATGATCTCTGATCCTCCTCGTACACAAACATATTTGAAACTGAATCAAGATATAACGCTCAGCGAAAAGTTTACTAATGGATGCCCCGAGCTGAATAATTATATATTCAAGTCTCTATTATGGTCGCACACAAGTTGTTGGGTGTCGGACTTACAAGAATGCTCTAGATCTTATGGCTGAACCTGGTTTTACTAAAACTTGCTATTAATTAGTTTTTACTGAAATAATAAAAAATGTGTACAACATATTCAGTAGCTTACCTTTACAATACCCTACAAACTCCTCATTTTTGTCGAAGTGGTCTTTGTGTACTTTGATATGACACCCTGGAATGACAAACAGTACATACTATATATATGGACTGGGAAATACAAAATCCGACTGGGCATAACAGATGAATGTCATTTATTTTGAAAATTACCCACAAATCTTGTACCATGCAACAGCAAAAAGTTGTATTATTGTTGAGCCTTGTTAATCCATCCATCACTATTCTGGTGATCATATCTGACCATTGTTTTAGGAACAACTCTCTATTTCTACTTAAATCTGTCCCATTGGAAATGAAAGTGAATGCATTAACAAGGCTTCACTGTAAAATGGTTTTCATGTTATAACATGTCCTGAAAATACCCTATTAAGAGTCTATAACCCAAAATTACAGTCCTACACTTAGCATAAAAGGGTCTAATTGAAAACTACAGTTTCAAATTAACTAAATGTTAAGAAAGGTTTGCAGCTGAAACAACCTCGAGAAAGATAAAATGTCCCATACGTAAAAGGAAATAAAAGGATTCTCAACACCACAAGAACAGCTTTGTTGTTCACTTGACGTCTACATAATTACTTGATGTCTACATAATCACTTGACGTCTACATAATTACTTGACGTCTACATAATCACTTGACGTCTAGATAATCACTTGACGTCTACATAATCACTTGACGTCTACATAATTACTTGATGTCTACATAATCACTTGACGTCTACATAATTACTTGACGTCTACATAATTACTTGACGTCTACATGTTTCAACTGCTATGCAGCCATCATCAGAACAAATTTTACAAAGGTAAGCCTAAGGTAAAATATGCAGTTGTACCCAATGATAATAATTACATTAGCATATATATATATATTATGTCATATATGTTTACTAACGTTTACACTCCAGGGCCTGTGGCAGACATATATATATCTATTATGTCCTGTATGTATACTAACGTTTACACTCCAGGGCCTGTGGCAGACATATATATATATCTATTATGTCCTTTAAGTATACTAACGTTTACACTCCAGGGCCTGTGGCAGACATATATATATCTATTATGTCCTGTATGTATACTAACGTTTACACTCCAGGGCCTGTGGTGACCATTTATATATCTATTATGTCCTGTATGTATACTAACGTTTACACTCCAGGGCCTGTGGCAGACATATATATATCTATTATGTCCTGTATGTATACTAACGTTTACACTCCAGGGCCTGTGGTGGACATATATATATCTATTATGTCCTGTATGTATACTAACGTTTACACTCCAGGGCCTGTGGTGGACATATATATATCTATTATGTCCTGTATGTATACTAACGTTTACACTCCAGGGCCTGTGGTGGACATATATATATCTATTATGTCCTGTATGTATACTAACGTTTACACTCCAGGGCCTGTGGTGGACATATATATATCTATTATGTCCTGTATGTATACTAACGTTTACACTCCAGGGCCTGTGGTGGACATATATATATCTATTATGTCCTGTATGTATACTAACGTTTACACTCCAGGGCCTGTGGTGGACATATATATATCTATTATGTCCTGTATGTATACTAACGTTTACACTCCAGGGCCTGTGGTGGACATATATATATCTATTATGTCCTGTATGTATACTAACGTTTACACTCCAGGGCCTGTGGTGGACATATATATATCTATTATGTCCTGTATGTATACTAACGTTTACACTCCAGGGCCTGTGGTGGACATATATATATCTATTATGTCCTGTATGTATACTAACGTTTACACTCCAGGGCCTGTGGTGGACATATATATATCTATTATGTCCTGTATGTATACTAACGTTTACACTCCAGGGCCTGTGGTGGACATATATATATCTATTATGTCCTGTATGTATACTAACGTTTACACTCCAGGGCCTGTGGTGGACATATATATATCTATTATGTCCTGTATGTATACTAACGTTTACACTCCAGGGCCTGTGGTGGACATATATATATCTATTATGTCCTGTATGTATACTAACGTTTACACTCCAGGGCCTGTGGTGGACATATATATATCTATTATGTCCTGTATGTATACTAACGTTTACACTCCAGGGCCTGTGGTGGACATATATATATCTATTATGTCCTGTATGTATACTAACGTTTACACTCCAGGGCCTGTGGTGGACATATATATATCTATTATGTCCTGTATGTATACTAACGTTTACACTCCAGGGCCTGTGGTGGACATATATATATCTATTATGTCCTGTATGTATACTAACGTTTACACTCCAGGGCCTGTGGTGGACATATATATATCTATTATGTCCTGTATGTATACTAACGTTTACACTCCAGGGCCTGTGGTGGACATATATATATCTATTATGTCCTGTATGTATACTAACGTTTACACTCCAGGGCCTGTGGTGGACATATATATATCTATTATGTCCTGTATGTATACTAACGTTTACACTCCAGGGCCTGTGGTGGACATATATATATCTATTATGTCCTGTATGTATACTAACGTTTACACTCCAGGGCCTGTGGTGGACATATATATATCTATTATGTCCTGTATGTATACTAACGTTTACACTCCAGGGCCTGTGGTGGACATATATATATCTATTATGTCCTGTATGTATACTAACGTTTACACTCCAGGGCCTGTGGTGGACATATATATATCTATTATGTCCTGTATGTATACTAACGTTTACACTCCAGGGCCTGTGGTGGACATATATATATCTATTATGTCCTGTATGTATACTAACGTTTACACTCCAGGGCCTGTGGTGGACATATATATATCTATTATGTCCTGTATGTATACTAACGTTTACACTCCAGGGCCTGTGGTGGACATATATATATCTATTATGTCCTGTATGTATACTAACGTTTACACTCCAGGGCCTGTGGTGGACATATATATATCTATTATGTCCTGTATGTATACTAACGTTTACACTCCAGGGCCTGTGGTGGACATATATATATCTATTATGTCCTGTATGTATACTAACGTTTACACTCCAGGGCCTGTGGTGGACATATATATATCTATTATGTCCTGTATGTATACTAACGTTTACACTCCAGGGCCTGTGGTGGACATATATATATCTATTATGTCCTGTATGTATACTAACGTTTACACTCCAGGGCCTGTGGTGGACATATATATATCTATTATGTCCTGTATGTATACTAACGTTTACACTCCAGGGCCTGTGGTGGACATATATATATCTATTATGTCCTGTATGTATACTAACGTTTACACTCCAGGGCCTGTGGTGGACATATATATATCTATTATGTCCTGTATGTATACTAACGTTTACACTCCAGGGCCTGTGGTGGACATATATATATCTATTATGTCCTGTATGTATACTAACGTTTACACTCCAGGGCCTGTGGTGGACATATATATATCTATTATGTCCTGTATGTATACTAACGTTTACACTCCAGGGCCTGTGGTGGACATATATATATCTATTATGTCCTGTATGTATACTAACGTTTACACTCCAGGGCCTGTGGTGGACATATATATATCTATTATGTCCTGTATGTATACTAACGTTTACACTCCAGGGCCTGTGGTGGACATATATATATCTATTATGTCCTGTATGTATACTAACGTTTACACTCCAGGGCCTGTGGTGGACATATATATATCTATTATGTCCTGTATGTATACTAACGTTTACACTCCAGGGCCTGTGGTGGACATATATATATCTATTATGTCCTGTATGTATACTAACGTTTACACTCCAGGGCCTGTGGTGGACATATATATATCTATTATGTCCTGTATGTATACTAACGTTTACACTCCGGGTCCTGTGGTGGACATATATATATCTATTATGACCTGTATGTATACTAACGTTTACACTCAGGGCCTGTGGTGGACTATATATATCTATTATGTCCTGTATGTATACTAACGTTTACACTCCAGGGCCTGCGGCGGATACTAACGTTTACACTCCAGGGCCTGCGGCGGATGAAGTACATGCCATTATGTCCTGAATGTATACTAACGTTTACACTCAGGGCCTGTGGTGGATTATATATATCTATTATGTCCTGTATGTATATTAACGTTTACACTCCAGGGCCTGTGGTGACCATATGTATATCTATTATGTCCTGTATGTATACTAACATTTACACTCCAGGGCCTGTGGTGGACATATGTATATCTATTATGTCCTGTATGTATACTAACGTTTACACTCCAGGGCCTGCGGCGGATGAAGTACATGCCATACTGCCTTGTTACACGCATCACAATTGGTTGGGGTACGGAAATGTAAAGGTATGAATTCATGTCCTTTGTGTTGAACCATTGACGTTTTGTCCTGTGGAGATGAAAACACAACAATGACACTGACTTTATAGAGAACTACTGGTATCACAGTGAAGTTCCTTTTGCATTCATCAGACAATATGTGCAATGGTGAATTTTTACATTCTCATGATTTTGTTTGTTCTATTACTTCACTGAAAATTTGCTGTCCTCGTTAATTTGCAATTCAAATTTTCATGTAAATAACAGTCACGAAAAGAACCCTGTATAGCCTTTAAGTAGAGTATTGTATGAGGTTTCAAGATCTATCAGGAGTTTTATTTCCAAATCTAAACTGACAGGATAAAATAAGCTTCCACATCTGGTTTATCCAATTTAGTATTTGAGTAGTGCTCTTCCAAAAACCGTATGAATTTCAGTTTCTTTTCGGACTAATACTGTTTGAATTCTCCAAAATTTACCTGGTTCAGTTCATGACTTATTTCATCAGGACGTCTATTTTCTCCTTCGGTGGCATACAGAACCTGAAATATATCAGAAAGACATGTCAAGTTTCTCTATCATATCTAAGCTTGTTCAAATTTCCCAATGCCAATAGGTCAATAATATTTTCTTGATAGTGAGATCTTAAATCCCTATTCATTTCAGTGGTTAATATGACAAATAATACAAACATATCTGTTTGTACCTGATAGAATTCACAAATAAACAAATCATTCACCACCAACGCCACACTGATATTACTTAAGTATCATTAATTATTGATGTTTTACTATATCCATGAAGACCATTCAGACACACCTGGAATATCCGGGGGATATCTTTGACATCGGCTCTGTATACGTCACCCTGGCTCACAGGTCGTACATGGAATAATTTTCTGTGAAACAAAAAAGGAATATATATTAAAATGGTACTCGATATCAACAAAATGGCAGTTTGAAACATTCAACAATTAAGTTAATTAAGTATTGACAACTATATTTATTATAAAACGACTAACAAATTCCTTGTTAAGTCTTGTTTTATGTTCAGTCAAATTATAAGATTAAAAACTCTAGTAATGTAAAGGTACTTAATCATTTTGCAGAACAATATTCCAGCACTTTTTACCCTATTTGAATATGCTCAATTATGTATATAATCTAATTCACTGTATTCCTATATGTTTGAGTGTGTTAATGTAGACATGTTTTCAGTATCTTAAACACCCTGGTCCTAAAACATTTATACATATTTGTTTATCTAATAAGCATATAAAATACCTAAATCAGTTTTTCAGCTTGTGAAGCACTTCAGCAATGATCAACAGTAGTGACTAAACCACAGAATACTCACTCAATATCTAGCACCAATACCGGGTCTGCGTTCTGTTTGTCATTCTCTGAGTTGTAGAACAACACCTTGCGACTACTGACGACCACATACTGCTTCTTCCAGCCATACTTTTTGATATTGGACTTGTTGGGTACGGCTAGCCAACCCTCCATGAGTGTGTCCGAGTTAACTGGAGAGATACTTGTGATACTAATGTCCCCGTCATTTTCACCATTACCACTATGCACTGAAGCAGAGTCTACATTTAAGAACGTTAGCTTCTGTCTCAATAACTCAATCTCACTGTCCTTGGCATCCAGTTCCATCTGTAGCTTCGACCGTTGCTGACCTTCCTCATATAACGCAGCCTGAGTCTCACTTAAGTCCCGCGAGTACTTCTCTATCATCTTGTTGTACTTCTCTCTTTCCTGGACGACACAACAAACAATACTACTTAACTTCCTTGTCATGGTTTCAGGTTCAGTTCAATACATGTTAGCAATAACAAGAGAGACCTTTTTTTTGAAGATCATATATTTATCAAATAAAACACAAAAAGTTATAAGACAAAGGATGTTACATATAAACAATGCATTCCTAGTAAAGTGCTGTTTATCCTTCCTGTATTTTCCCTTCTTGTTTTTTTAAACTGTCTTAAACAGCTATTCTCAAATATTTAATAAAATCCTAGAACTAATGATGGAGTTTTTATGCGTCTTTCCTCCTTTTAATCAAGCTGATCATATCACAGATTTAATCAGTTTTATCAACACCATACATGAGCCCTATGAAACTTTTATAATGACATACCATCTGAAGTTCTTGTTGTGCTTTGCGTAGTTCCCGTTCCTTTTTCTTCATGTCTGCGTCGGGCATGTTCTTCTTGTTCTTACCCTGAGGCTTGAACTCCTTCCTATTCATAATCTCGGCTAATTTATTCACAGCCTACAAAAACATAGGTCATAAAAAACTATTTCAACACGTCAGATCTAAATAACAAGGCAATTGCAATATGGCAATTAATTTCATGATACTCATTTTTCACAGCATGATTCAATTTGACATTTTTTACAGTGACAATAATCAATAGTAAATCAGATTTTTTTATGACAATTTCAAATACCTGCAATTGTAAATGATGTGTTTTAAATACAATCATGAAAAATAATGTTTTATGTCTAATCACTAAAAATAATAATTACTTGCAGACAATTAATTACTTTTAGGCATTGAACTGTGAACAGCGTCAGGTCTACATGTGATGTTCTCAGCATGTTCTATTTCACCACACTAATTTTGTCATGTATAACAAACAGTTGTAATCTAGCTTAGTAGAATGTTGACAGTTTGGTCATGAATTACAGCACTATTTCAATTGTGATGTCATAATATGTAGTCACATCTATATATACATTCAAAATTTCACTCTGTTCACCTGAATCTTTTTTATTCTTTCCTCTTGAAAATTCTTTCGTAATTTTTCTAATTCATTACCAGCATCCTCTGCATTATGGGATTGCAAATTGCGTAGCTCTGAGGAGAAATGAAAACACTATGTTAAAAAAAAAATATATAACATACAAAAATGTACATAAAATAATTCATATCCCATGGCCTATGTCTTTCTGTAGCTCAATACCTTTTACCGATTACAGGATAATATTCAGCGGTGATATAATAATCTTAAAATCACAAACTCAACACTGCAACATTTTATATTTGCTTAAATAAATTTAACACAGCACAACATCAACCTGTATAAATTGGAAATCCACACCACCAGTCAACTGAACTGAATTCCAGAAATATTACTTCCTGGCTCAGATGGCTAAATCCACACCAAACTGCTGAGGATATTCTGTCAGTTCTCAATTCAAATTGCAGCAAATAGCAAACACAAAATTCAGTACAAAGGGACAATTATTCTGGTGCATGTGAGGGAACAGGCTATTCTAATGGCTTTGTCCCTAGAGCACACTCAAAGTTTTATATATTCTAATAGAATAGCTGTTAATCATTACCATACCAAGTTGGTCCAAAGTTTAAAATTTAAATAATGATTCTCACCTTCAGTCTTTTTCTTCATTTGCTTACTTATTTCATCATATTCTGCTTGCATCTCCTGGTTTCGTTTCAATAGGTCTCGCTTTGACTCTTCCAACTGTGAGAAATGACAAGCATAGTTCTACTTATATTGATAATTCTTTGTAAGCATCAAATTGATGACACTGTATATATCTTAAAATCACAAATTCAACACTGCAACATTTATTTTATTTTTTACATAAATTTAAAACAGCACAACATCAAAATTTAACACAGCACAACATCAACCTGTTTAAATTGGAAATCCACACCACCAGTCAACTGAACTGATTTCCAGAAATATATCTTCCTGGCTCAGATGACTTAATCCACACCAAAATGCTGAGAATTCACTTGTCATTTGTCAGAGAAGAAACTGATACTAAGTAAAACGAAAGCTTTAAACACCATGCCTCCTCCCACTTTAAACACCTTGCCTCCTCCCACTTTAAACACCATGCCTTCTCCCACTTTAAACACCATGCCTTCTCCCACTTTAAACACCTTGCCTCCTCCCACTTTAAACACCATGACTCCTCCCACTTTAAACACCTTGCCTCCTCCCACTTTAAACACCACGTTAAACACCTTGCCTCCTCCCACTTTAACCCCCACGTTAAACACCATGCCTCCTCCCGCTTTAAACCCCTTGCCTCCTCCCACTTTAACCCCCTTGCCTCCTCCCACTTTAAACTCCCCGTTAAACACCATGCCTCCTCCCGCTTTAAACCCCTTGCCTCCTCCCCCTTTTAAACACCACGTTAAACACCACGCCTCCTCCCACTTTAAACACCTTGGCTCCTCCCACTTTAAACACCACGCTAAACACCATGCCTTCTCCCACTTTAAACACAGTGCCTCCTCCCGCTTTAAACACCACGTAAAACACCATGCCTCCTCCCACTTTAAGCACCTTGCCTCCTCCCACTTTAAACACCATCCCTTCTCCCACTTTAAACACCTTGGCTCCTCCCACTTTAAACACCACGCTAAACACCATGCCTTCTCCCACTTTAACCACATTGCCTCCTCCCACTTTAAGCTCCACGTTAAACACCATGCCTCCTCCCGCTTTAAACACCACGTAAAACACCATGCCTCCTCCCACTTTAAAGACCTTGCCTCCTCCGACTTTAAACACCATGCCTTCTCCCACTTTAGACACATTGCCTCCTCCCACTTTAAGCTCCACGTTAAACACCATGCCTCCTCCCGCTTTAAACCCCTTGCCTCCTCCCCCTTTTAAACCCCACGTTAAACACCATGCCTTCTCACACTTCGAAACACCTTGCCTCCTCCCACTTTCAACACCACGTTAAACACCATGCCTTCTCACACTTCGAAACACCTTGCCTCCTCCCACTTTAACCACCACGTTAAACACCATGCCTCCCCCCACTTTAAACACCACGTTAAACCCCTTGCCTCCTCCCACTTTAAACGCCATGACTCCTCCCACTTTAAACACCTTGGCTCCTCCCACTTTAAACACCACGCTAAACACCATGCCTTCTCCCACTTCAAACACATTGCCTCCTCCCACTTTCAACACCACGTTAAACACCATGCCTTCTCACACTTCGAAACACCTTGCCTCCTCCCACTTAAAACACCACGTTAAACACCATGCCTTCTCACACTTCGAAACACCTTGCCTCCTCCCACTTTCAACACCACGTTAAACACCATGCCTCCCCCCACTTTAAACACCACGTTAAAATGCCTTCTCCCACTTTAAACACATCGCCTCCTCCCACTTTAAACACCTGGCCTCCTCCCACTTTAAACACCACGCTAAACACCATGCCTTCTCCCACTTTAACCACATTGCCTCCTCCCACTTTAACCCCCTTGCCTCCTCCCACTTTAACCCCCTTGCCTCCTCCCACTTTAAACTCCATGCCTTCTCCCACTTTAAACACCACGTTAAAATGCCTTCTCCCACTTTAAACACCATGAATCCTCCCACTTTAAACACCATGCCTCCTCCCCCTTTAAACACCACGTTAAACGCCATGCCTCCCCCCACTTTAAACACCACGTTAAAATGCCTTCTCCCACTTTAAACACCACGTTACACACCATGCCTCCTCCCACTTTAAACACCTTGCCTCCTCCCACTTTCCAACTTTCACAACATACTGAATCAGTCCCAAGTAATGGCTTTCTTTAAAGTACTTCTATCACATTAGTTGCTTATATTTCTATCCAAAATTGGTACTATAAAGCTTGTATTGATCACATGGTTCCAGTTGTTCACTCACTATGTTATATATTGGTCCCATTAACTTATACAGGTAACACTGTTCATGATGTGTATGACTTGACTGCCATCGTTTTATATAATGATCAATAACTAGTTACTAAAGTGCTTCTTTAACTCTCCTATAAAATGACTCCTATTTGAAACAAAGTTAAACTTCTTGTCATTTAATAGAATACATGCAGTTCCTCAATGTGACATCTTCAAAAAGTTATCTTCAGATCACGTCTCGCTCACCTTTTCAAATTTCTGATTTTGTCTGCATCAAAACTCAAATAATTTCACAGCAACTACTCGTAATATCTAATTATCCCACAAAGAAAAGTTACGATCCTTACCACCTGATACTGGTATTCCTTTTTGCCAGCATCACTCTTGTGTCGACCCATTAACTCTTTTATTTCTAATTCTAAAACTGTTTTTTCCTTCTCTAAATCAGACAGCTGTTCCTCTGCAATAGATCTGGCAAGTTGTTCCGAATCTGCTTTGGACAAAGCCAATTCCAACTGAACAGCGATGGATTCCCTGGAAGAGCAGAAACACAGTAAATATCAACTAAACTCTTACATTACCTTGTATCTTCACATTAGGATAGATGTTCTGGGAATTTCTTTTTATTACTCTCCTTTGCGTTTACACCAATCCTTTTTTAACCTATACATTTACGAGCTTGAGTCATATGCTCATTGAAGTTTAACTGGCCACCTTCTAAGCCTTTCACACAATTTGGTAGAAGGAATTTTCATCTGTTATCGTATTTGACCCATATGACCTTGAAAGTTGGCCAAGGTCGTTTAATGAACAAATGTCAAAACAGCTACCCAAGCCAAATATGAATCTAAACCTGAAATTTCTTTACAAGAAATTGCCCGAATGAAAATCTGACCCTGGGCATCAAAGCTAAATGTTTACAGCATCAGACATAAACTTACAGGCACGTCAATGTGTGCTAAAACTGAGGGGCTTAATTCTAAACACAGCTTAATCATAGGTAACATTCTTGTTCTTCATCATTCTGTTGAATATGCATTAGAATTTTATTGGTCACTAAGTGAAATTAGTTGGACCTCCTTTCAATCCCTCAGACAGTCCCAAGTATATGTCTGCCACTTCTGTTTAACTAGCATTATTTGCTAAGCAGTATCTGGATAAATGTGATTGTCCTGTGCTTACTTTTCCTTTTCCACGCTCTTCAGATCCATGACAGCATCCTGGTGCTGCTTACTCTTATCCTCCACATCCTCCTTAAGCTCCTTCACCTGCGTCCTGTACAGTGACTAAACAAGAAAACAAATTTTCACAATAACTATTACCAAAATTTTATTATCACAAACTCTATAATACTTCAATCATTTAAAATTATACATGATTTTATTAATATTCACAATGAAAAAAATCTTATATGAGCAATTCAAGGTATGAATGTATGTGGATAGGGGCTGGATTTGTAGAGACCCTTTGAGTCACATAAAAACTGTCTCCCTGCCCTCCAACCTTCTTTCCTTTATTCTATTTCTAGAATGAACCTGATGTTAAGGTTGATTTGCTTTGTCAATGCTGTTAATGGTTTATTGGATGGCACAGTGGATAACGCTTTCAACTTTCACCAAGGCGACCAGGGTTTGATTCCCTGTTCGGATGTGAATTGGTATGGGGTCACCTGCCCGACCACGTCGGTTTTCTCCGGGTACTGTTTGGAAGCCATACTGTCATCAACTGATTTAATGTAAGGAACTGAAAGCAGATTCAAATTTAACTCTGCTAATTACAGGCAAATTCTACACTATCCATTTTATGGAATAGTCTTAAGCATGTTTTCCTGTGTGTCACTTTGTGTATATATACTTTGTGTACGCATATCAATACTTACAGAGAAATACTGCTCTGCCTCCAGCTGGTCCTGGAGTTCCTTCATTTGTAGGTCTGTGACAGACATATCTCTGTGAAGGGAAACAAATTTTAGTCAGGAGCTTATATAAAACAATCAATTCTCCAACAGCAGTTACATTTACAGTAAAAGAGATAACAGGGAAAGTTACCTGTTTTGACACAGATTAATTGAAATAATACACCTTCAAATTCTAGTTGTCAATGGCAAGATATCTTTGAAAAAACTCACTCTTTCAGCCTCCGTAACTCATCCTCCAAATAGTACTTTTCCTCTTTGGCATCATCAAGTTCCTTAAATGAAACCAAGGCACAAATCACAACCAGTTTTAAGGAAGTTTGAAGATAAAGTTGTTAGAGTGAAAACAAAGATATGAAGTTACTTTGACGTTAACCTTACTACAAAATCCTAAAATGCAACATTGTTTTGTGTATTCTCATGCCTATCTTTTGTAGGGGGTACTATGAATATCTGTTGGAAAACTGCGAAATAGTACTTAAACTTGACCTTAACCGCAGCACCCTGAAACATGAACTAAGGTTTGGTATTCTATTTAACCCTTTCAACCCCAATGTAGACTCTGCCATGCATTGATATGGACGAGTCCATTGTGGTCTACAGCGATGAAAGGGTTAACACTACTTACAGGGTGTATCCTTGACAATTTACAGAAATTAAATTACTAAGAGCAATGACTCAGTAAACATAGACAGATCCTTATACCCCTTCAAATTTTGTTGCAAGAGGGTAAAAAATTCTTATTGACTGAAGAGGAGTTCAACAGTTGCCTATCAGTACCAGTTCATCTAAAGACGACCAGAAAAGGGAATCTATTCCATGCTGTGACAATTCTGGATAGTATAAATTTTGTTTGCTGGAATTCCACAAGGAATACCTATATATGATGCTGCAAATGCTCAGGAGCATGAATTAACATGTCAATATGCTTACAGCATCTTTTGATGACGAGATAACATTACCTTTTGGATATGTCTTTCTAGGCTCTTTGCCTTTGTCAGATCTTGAGCTTGAACTTTGAAATCACCCTGCATTAAATTTCGTCGCTGAATCTCTTGTTCAACTTGTAAGGACAAATTTCTTGACTGAAAAGAACAAATGAATTTTGATAAATATGAAAATTATATTCTCGCCAGCAAAATACATTAATGAAAATTACAAATGAAAATTTGATATGTAAATACTCCATTTCAAACCCTGGTCAGCATGCCATGTCGACAGTATTTGACAGGAAGGCCTTACTCACAAAACTGGGAGCCACTTACATGTAGTGAACAGGAACTGTATTTACTTTTGTAATCCAAGCACATGCCCTTGTGAAAATGTTGTTTGCAGTTTTAATTTGGATAGTTAAAAATTCTGAAATTCTTTAGAAATTTCTTTTTAAACCCTGTCAGCAACATACCTTTTCTTGTTCACAACTCAGTGAGCTTTGCAATGAAGACACCTGTTGCTTGAACTGAGAAATATCAACTAGAATTTCGGAGTTTTTCTTTTCTAAGTCCATCAGTCGTGACTCTGACATCATCCGTGTCATGTGCTCTTGGTCATAGTTTTTCTGTATCTCTGTAAAAAGTCAATGTCAGAGTCAACAAAAGAGAATTCAACACTAGCATTTACTAAGACCAAAACAAATTAATTACTTGGTTCTCAGGCCCGCGCACATTTCATTTCAGGGCACCGCATTGCCGATTTTATCATGAAAGTAATAAATAAATAATTGTGAATGCGCCGGAAAATTGGTCCACATGTCGTTTTTACTCGTTATTCACCCAAGTCCCGAAAACGTTTGAATAAAGATAAGGAAATTGATATACAGTCAAGCGTTAAAATGATTATGACTTATTAACCTCGTTTACAAATGGCGCTCATTTCGGTACAAAATGAACGTGGTCATTCCCAGATAAACTCCGTTCTGCTAAAGTATCTGTGTGTGTTGGGCGACAAAAATTGGCCTGAGAATCAAGTAATTAATTTTGTTTGGCCTTGGTTGACATGTTCCCGAAAGGAGACTACATCAATTAAAACCATATAGATGCAAAGAGCTGTGTCTAATTATGCAAACTTGCTAATTGTTTTCAATTTCAATAAAAGCTGTTCACAAAATTTTCCATCCTTTAATTACATCTTTATTTATCGCATTTGATGTAATAACGCCGCCACCTACCCCCAAAGATGTTATAATAGTTTGGAATGTTTATTGCAGAGTTCAGAATTTGTTCTGTTCCAGAAGTTGTCCAGCTGGTTCTGTTTGTAAGATAACGTCCCCTTTCAGAATGGCACTGTTACAAATGTATTGTATGACAGCAAATCTGCCACAGAACAGTTAGCTGGTGATACATCGACCAATAAACTATTTCAGAATGTTTAACGGCTTTATAAATGGGGATTTATAAAGAAATATTCCAGGTCTATTTCACTGTGAGAAAATGGCCAAAATGTAAGATAAGTTGTTTGAGGAAAAAGGTGGCTGAATAAAGGCAACTAAGTCATCATTTACCAATGCCTGATGCCTTTATTACATAAAATAAGGTATCTTTAAGTCACCGACCTTTCATTGCCTCAAGGTTGGCCTCCTCAGATGATATGAGCAAGGTCCTTCTGTCTGCATTAAATTTAGCGACAGTGTCTTTGTGTGAGCCGACTTCAGTATCCAGCTTCCTCCTGTAAGCCTCCAGTTCAATCTCCATATATTTCTTGTCCTATTAACATAGACAAGAAAATGTTAAACTGCAACACTCCTTAAAGGATCTTAATCCAAGGGTTTCCGCTCTCAATACATAAATCTTCTCTACATCGTTGGAATATGTCATGACATTTTCAAAGGCAAGCTATTGGAGGGTTTCAGGTATAAAATCTGACCAATCGCTAGGCTGATACTGGCCATTTCAAGATTACAGAGGAGTGACACCTGACATCAAAGCCAGTCAATTTTACCGTTAAGCTGCTGTGCGATTCGTTCGATAAACATTGTGAAGCCTATCAACAAACAACCAGCTCACTTCCAATCTAATATTGTTCGTATGCTATTTGTTATTTCTATCCTAGATCAGAGATTTCATGACTTTTACCTTTTCAAGTCTGACAATAGATTCATTAAGGCGTTGTAATTCCACACTGAGATTCCGTTCTTTTTCAAGTCCTCTTTCTTTTTCATCCTGAAGTTTAGCTAATCGTTCTGAAAAATGCAACATTCAGAATGCATCTAATTGATTGTTGATATAGAATTCAATAGTAAGATACATTGTACAGTAGTTCTATTCCATGTCAATTCTTAAAGCCTAATTTAAGAAATGATAAAATGTAATAATCCTCTGTTGTAATTGTATCAATTCAGGGGACAGACTTATATATAAAGCATTTGGCTTGTTTTTGAATCCTTTTTCTTACAATAATGAATACTGTCTGTTAACGTTAAGAAAATTTAAATAAGATATTGTTAAAGTATAAAGAATGTCCTCTATAATTAAATATCTTTTAAAGAAAAAAAGAACCATGTTTCTACTGGTTTAAATATTCTAACTGTGTACCGTTGAGTTCCTGTGAGTGAGCAGAGCTTTGGCTGTGTGAGTTACGCTCCTGTTCCAATATGGCCTGGAGGTCTATCAGTTCCTTCTGTAATGACTGGCGAATACTGACCACTTCTGCGTGCTTTGTGTTGAGGTCTGAGTAGTTAGTCTCCAGGATTGAATATCGCTAAAAAATAATTCAATCAATGGTCAGCCACCAAAATCAGCTTAGGGAAAATGTGTTTTCCTGCTTCTTCTATCTGAACAGGATTATATATTCCTTTGTATATACAAGCTAGATATTACAAATCTCAACATAATTAAAACAATATCCTACATACAAATCTAAGTATCTCATATTTCAAGTTGGTCTTGCTAATAACAAATGATGTAGGCAATCCGAAAAGGATCTGTTAATTAATCTTTCATTCAACTAATTTTACATCAGAGATATCTATCGTTTGACGTGAGAATGAAACTTATTGATATTTTCCAGACTAAATTTTAAATATTAAAACAGGATCAGTATGAATACTTTCCCAATAAACTATGATATTTATTCAGCACCTACAAAGCAAACTCACCTGTTGTAGTTCTGAGCAATTTTTCTTGAACTTAGCTGCATTATCAGATTCTAATTTTAATCTCTCATTCAGGTCTGTAATCTGTGAAAATTAAGAGGATTTATATATTACCAACATTGACTGTAACAGTATACAAAACCAAATACATTTTAGACAGTTAATATTTCATTAAATTGTAGACAGATAATATTTCATGAAGTTATTTTTCAACACTTGTTCAGACACACTTATCAAATAGTTGTCTTTTTTCACTTTTAAGAATCAAAATAGCCAATACCAAATTCCATAACTAATATAAACAAATAGGCCCCATAAACAGAGAACCATGATATGAATGCATTTAAAATTTGCAAATTCAGAACAGACATAACCTATGATATCAACTTTTATAAATTATGGAAATGAGAATACATTATGGCATATTTTATATAGCAGGAACACATCATCAACAAAATGTATATCTGAATTATTTGATATCAATGTTTTAATTTAACATAGACATTTGATCTTACAATAGGTTGAGACGCTTGCAGAGATATTACAGATTTGTGGGTTGGTACTGACCGTTTTTTCTAATGACGAGAGGCGATCACTAGTGGAGTTTTTGCTGTTTTGTTCTCTCCGGCGTAAAATGGACTCGTCAGCCAGTTGTTGATCCTTTTCCTTAAGTAGCACCTCTAACTTCCTCCTATTCTCGGCCTCAATGTCTGCCTTTCTCTGACTCTGTTGATACACCAAACAAGTTCAGGTTATCGTTGATTAACTTGACTGTTCATAACATTGTATAATTTCTAGTTACAATTTTAATATCTTAACTTTTAGTTCCTATGCAAAATTATTTCTTTTGAGCAGATTTTCTGAATAACCATATATTGACTCAAGTCCTTGATGATAATGATTACATATTATATTGCGGAGGTAGGATAATAAGCTAATGTTTCCACGAATTTTATTGATGGTAGACTTTATTTATGATTATATATGCATGAGATAGCCGAGTACCATATACAATTTATTTACAATGTCATCCTAAAACAATGAGCAAAAATAAAAACATTAAAAGATTCTCTCCTTTTACATTGTTTAATCATTTGTGCTTTACGTCCTATTAACAGCTATGGTCATAAAAAACAGAAGTACCTGGAAAAAGACACTGACCTATGGTCAGTACCTGTGGACTGCCCCACGTTAGCCTTGAACCTGTGAATCAATGGTAGAGGACTAGTGATTGTAGACGATCAGAGGCCTTAACCACATGACCACCTTGGCCACATAATCAGCGCGACCCTCATTACCTACCTCCTTCTGATCATGCTTCAGTAGAGCCATTCTCTTCTCAAATTCACTACATTCTCGTCGCAATCTTGACTCCTCCGACGAAATTCTATCCAAGTCATGCTTCAGCATCCTGTGGAAACAGACATGGTTACAAATTCTTACTACGATATAGTATATATATCTGTAGTGATTTCCTCAACACAATACCTAATAATGCAGAGTTAACAAATAAAAAATGTTAAAATACATTTGCAAATAAAATGTAAATCATTTTAGATCTCAGATATTTTGGGTGAAACAAATGCAATTGCATAAAATTATGATGAGAAAACCATGTACAACAGATGTCATAGGAAAGACTAATATTTTCTATTCAATGAAAGCTCAAGTTGTTGGCCAAAGTATCTACATAATTAACTAAACACAACCATAGACTTACGTAAACTTTTTTTCAACCTCTTCTTTCGATGACTTGAGGGATCGGACCTGATCTTGAAGCTGTTTTTCTTCACCATCTCCTGGCTGTCAATCAAAATAAGTGACGGTGAACCTTTGCCGTTATTGTCCAAGTAAAAAGAGGCAACTTTAACTTATTTCACATACAGCCGTCAACATGAACACAAAGCAAAAACAATTATCATAGCTCATATGTTCACAACAATTGTATTTATTCACCATTTCTTTTTTTAAGTCATAATTTCAAAGTCCATTTTGGAAACTAGCAATTACCACATGCACATTCATATTGAAAAATCCACCATTCTGTACATAAATCAAAACCCATGGGCTTTTAGTTCATATAAAATAGCTAAAGTTCAGCTTAAAGTAAATTTCGGCTTTATTGTCTACCAAAAATACCTAAATTCTAAATAAATGAGAATCATAAAAAAAAACCACACACATATGGTATTGTCCCTTAATCTATTCTCTATTACACTATTGACCTTGACCTATTTCTGGGAGAACTGTTGACCTATATAACAATACATGTAAAGTCCTATCCATATAACCAATATGCTAATCACTGTGTTCAATGAATAACAAGACATTTTTGGAGATACATTTTAGTGCTATATGGAGGGCAGATGTATCAAGTATCAGTGGTAATCCTGTTGTAAGTAGCATGGGTTATGATTTAAATACAGTGACATATAAGTTCCCATTCATTTGATCCTCCTGCTCCCTGTGGCTCCATTCCCAGGCACTACATCATAATTATTATTTTTATTTGATTTCTGACTTGAAATTAAAAAGAAAATTTGTGCAGAAGCATCAAAGAGGTAACTGTGATTCTTTGTCTACTTCTTTACTTTGTGGTTCCCCAACAGGACTAAACCATATCAAAATCATATACAAACCAAATATAGAATACTTCAGTATCTCAGAATGGTCAGTGTGACAAAATGCAATCATTTTTATCAATGAACTTTTTTGAGAATTAAATGTGATCACACTCGTGTCTGTATTTTAGCTGGACATTAGCATAAGCTTATACTAGAGATGTGTAATGTCTTAGTCTTATGCTCAAGTCTTATACTAGAGATGTGTAATGTCTTAGTCTTATGCCCAAGTCTTATGCTAGAGATGTGTAATGTCTTAGTCTTATGCTCAAGTCTTATGCTAGAGATGTGTAATGTCTTAGTCTTATGCCCCAAGTCTTATACTAGAGATGTGTAATGTCTTAGTCTTAAGCTCAAGTCTTATACTAGAGATGTGTAATGTCTTAGTCTTATGCTCAAGTCTTACACTAGATATGTGTAATGTCTTAGTCTTATGCTCAAGTCTTATACTTATACTAGAGATGTGTAATGTCTTAGCTTTATGCTCAAGTCTTATACTAAAGTTGTGTAATGCCTAGGTTTTATGGAGCCAACAAGATCACATCCCTGGAATCATGAAACAGTGTAAGACTTAGTTCAAATTTTAACTTGTTACATAATAAATTTTTCTCTTGGAAATCAGCTAAAAAGTGTGAGAAATATAGAGAATTAGTGTAAAATTAACTTAGAATACTTTTTGCATGTCATTGTAGCAATGACAAATAAGGAAACAACTAATTATAAATTAGGATTTAAGTCTAGATTACTTCATGGTTCCATGGTCAGGAGGCTCAGTGACTGAGACCAGACCAGCCCACTTACCGTCTGTCGCTGGACAGCAGACTGAAACACAGGGAAAAGGCAACATGCAGACATAAATTCATGCACTAACAAATTATCTTCACTTATTTTAATAACGGAGGAAGTTCTTGGCAACAAAAACCACATGCGTGGCTGAATTATAATCAAAGTACTTACTGAACTTTTAAAACACTCCAGGTATTATTGGCCCTCAGGTTAATCCTTGCAATTTACACTCAAGTGAGTCTTATTAGTGCACAGCACCAAACATTCTAGAAAATGTATTACTGCGGTACTATAATTTTGTATAAGCACAGGGTGAGAGAAATTCTACCAAATGTGAGATTTTTATTTTTCAACTACAAAACACAGGGTGCAATGTATTATACAAGATGTGATAGTTTTAGTTATCTTACAAAAATAGTTTTTTTTCTTCAGAATGTGTAACTATATATAACACCTATACAACACAGGAAGTCAGACATTTACAACAATATGAAAAATTACATCCGTCTTAAATAAAGTCAGCCTCATTCACTTTGACTTTCTGCATATTTGTGATAACTTCTGTTTATATAGCAATACAGATAACTTTTTTTTTTACCAATATTGAAATGTCTACATATACTGAAGCTTAACTCGAGGATTATAAGCAAAGCAGTATTTTATATAGAACAGAATACCCTTAGTGAGCAATCATGATTATGATTATCTTGATGAAATATGTGCACATTTACAGTATTTTAATTTTTTATAAATGACTGGGCTAGCAGTAGAACCATTCCCCTTTATTTAGTGCCTTTACCAATTTGAGTTTTATTGCTATTATTTCAGATCTTTAGAATGATGTCAATCTATTGCTGAAACTACATATATTTGATTTACTTGAAACAAACCCAGATCACATCTATGTACAACACATAATCTAAAACACACATTTCAGGGGTTTTCCTGCTTAAATTGAGCCTCATTTCATTTTGCCCCATTCAAAATGAGATTTAGACATTTTTCTACAAAATTTGAAAAATGATATATGCAAAATTGATAATAATAAAATAAAAATAATTTCCAATGCCCCCCTTTTTTCCCCTTACAGATGTTTTACCATCAAAAAATCTGAAAATCAGACATTCTTTAAAACAAATTGAGTGAAGTAAAGGAGTGATGTAGTTTTTAGATGCTTTCATAGGCTGTCCTTTTTCATTCCCTCTCCACTTTCTCAAAGCAAATGGCCTATCCCAACGTACAGGAAAACCCCTGCATTAATCACGTTTGTTTTCAGTGACACAACGGTAGAAAACTAAAACAGGCATTACCAAGTTACAGAACACCAAGTAGTAACTACACAAACCACACATTAACATTGGGAACACCAAGTCAAATTTTAAAATTATGATATTCCTCATAAATATTTAATAGCTCATAGATACAACTTGTAACATTTTTGTCTTAATTCTGACACAGTGGTTTCTCGCAATCAGTCAAATCAGACAATTTTCAAAAATCTACAAAGATTTCCATAAAAACTTATGCGCAGGATTTAAGATCTTGTAAAAATATTTTCTTAACAAAAACCTGCATAGGAAAAGCCTTTATTATTTAAGTCATACATAACCCTGATTTAGTGTCTAATATATATACGTGCAGCACTAAAAAACAGTTATAACATGCCAAGTCACTTTGTTCACAATCTTGAAGGAATTGCAATTCAAATGTGCAATGATATATCTTGGGCTTGCAAGCAAAAAAATAACTATTTAAACATTCCAATATTCCTTAGTGCTACCGTTTCTTTTTTATAATCTTAACAACATTACAATCATGTCCTGCCACCAGGCTTTGGATACAGAGTGTGGGAGTACAGGGGAGGCCTACATATATACTTACATCAATAGTGGATTGCTAAAAACCAGGACGAGTTAAATATCAAAAACACTGTTTTTTGTGTCATTAGCTCACATCACAAAATAACTGATTGAAAAATTGCAACAATATTAAAATGTCTTCAAATCTGAGCAAGAGAAAACAAACAAGAACAAGGAACTCACTGAAAGAGAAAATGAAAATGGAAGTTTTAAACTTTTTTATATATATATTCAACTGTTTCTGTTTTTATTTTTTACTTCGTTATTAGTAAATTGAAATCTCTTTATTAATCAAAATGCTGTTTAGTCCTTTCCAATGTATTAGCTGAACTTACCCCGCCCCGCTTTTGTACTCCAATACTCTCCTGTAGTAATCTGAAATGACATCACAAAAATACATTTATATCTTATCCTTCCTGTACCTTATATTTCTTTAGAAACACATTTGAAAAATTACTGTAAAAACAAACACAGCTATATTCTTGTAGACAAGAGCAATTTTAGAGTTCCCATGTGGGAGAACACAGGATCTAGTTCAGTTTCTTCTCAACAGATTAGAATCTTCTAAGGCAAAAATCTCATTTTGAAGGTTATTAGCAATCTGCTATTCCTTAATAAGGGCTGTTCCAGAAGTTAGGCAGGAGGCACCCTTTCAGAGACCCTACCACCATCAAATATTACAAGTGTTTACATATCAAGGATAGTAGGCATCTGGATTTACCCCCACCACCCCTTGTACATTAATACAGGTGCCCCCCATCTCCCCCATACAATGAATAGCTCTAAGCACATCAGGATTTGGTCACAAAAATAAGTCTGCTATCTAAACAGAATGCAGGCGAATTTGTTATTTACCTACATGTACATGCATGGCATTGATAATTATAAGGAGACTATAATACAGTTTCCCTTGTCTAAATTTCCTCCTTTATATATCATAGTGTATACACTTGTCTTAACAAGACTTAGTCACATCTGGATTTTTGTATCAACAGACCAAAGTATTCGGTTCTGACAATGACAATGTATAACAAGTTATAACAAACAGTATCTTTACAATTGAAAACTCCCTGCAAACAACCTGAATCATGTTGTCCCAGGGGTGTTCATTTTAGACAGAGCACAATGTATCATTTATGAAATATGAAATAATAAGTTTCAGATAACACATAATACTTTTGCAGTATACACTAAGGTACTGAAAATGAAATCCTACAGTAGACATGCCATACTTACTGATAACTCCTACTGTAAGTAAAACCTATAAACGGTAGGTGGTTCCCAGAAAAAGCCTTCGGAATCGCAAACGTCTCATCTGGTGAATCATCTTTTTCTATGTCCTCAAAGTTACTGGTGTCAACGTCACTGACCAACTCTGGCACTACGGGCGGTACATCTAGTGTAACAAAGTCAAAGACACGGGTCAGTAATAACTGTTTGTGCATTGTACATACTGTCAATAGGGCCTTACTAGCTTTTACTTAGTGACCTCCCGTCTAGCTAGAGCAGCTGATTACAAGTCTGGGGCTGCAGCAGAAACACTTAGCACTGCTCCTTCCTATTGCAATAGTACTTGGGGCTTAATGAGCATTTCGAAACTTCAGAATCTTTTCCTGATGGTTGAGATTCCCCTATCTCACCCATAAGGACGTGCAAGACACTTTTTCTCTTACCCTGTTATTTAAAGATTGGTTGTCATATTTTTGACATGCATTGGTGTGTAACATACATTGGCTTACCTACATATTGAATGGTGCATGCTAGTGCAACATGTTAAATATGTAGGTTAGCCTATGTATGTTACACACCAATCAAAAATATGACAACCAATCCTTATATTTACATTTTATGTTAATCAACTTACAGTTCACGCAGAAATAAAGACATAATATTAGTCTGAACACATTTTAACCTCAGGGTAAATCCAGACAGAGATCAGCCACCAGTTGACAGTGGAGCAGTGCAATCTCCAACATTACAGTTATGACGTCATAAGCGTAGTGATGTCACAATGGCCCAATGTGTGTTAAACGGAAATAACATACATTGGGCCCAGTAGAAACATCTAGGCTTTGTGCAGTGGAAATGTAAATATATATATAATGTCATGTTGATGTTAATGGCTCAATGCATTATTGACGTGATGTCATGCAATTGTTTTGAGAGGGGAATCCCATGTCTAAACATTAGGATGAGACTAATAAAGTGTTTCAGGTGAGACAGGGTAATCTTCCCCCGAGGGTTGAGATCACCCTGTCTGACTCCCAAGGGGGTGAATGATTATTTTTCTCTTACCCTGTTTACCCTCCTATATATTTTATATAGACGTTACATCAATGCAAGACAATGTTGATGTGATGCGGCTGAATTGTCGACGTGACGTTATTGTATTGTTGCCGTGACGTCATTGTATTGTTGCTATGATGTCATACAATTGTTGAGAACGTGCAAAGAACATGTGTAGCTTGTCTCAACCCTAGGGTGAGATAAGAAAATCTCTCACCGGTAAAATGGTGGATATCCCTGTCTAGGGTAAGAGAAAAGCTATCTCACACCAGGACAAGTGTGGATCACTTGTCCAGGGTAAGAGAAGTATATCTCACAGAGGATAAGTGTACATACACCTGGCTAAGGTCAGAGAAAAATCTGTCTTTACCTTTCCTTTATTCTAAAAACATCATTGCTTCACTATGGGATTGACTCATCAAACATTATATATAATAGCAGGAAAATGTGTAAAAAAACACCTATAATCAATAAATCCTGTGTGATTTTATAGACAAATAATAAATACAGCACTCAAAGACTTACATTCTCTGATGTTGTCCCAAGACCACTGGTCATTGGCGAAAAACTTGTGTGATTGTATCTCCTCTATACCATTCCTCCCTAACCGTTCATTCCTGAAAATCAGCAACAAAATGACATTTATCTTCATTAGTTTCAGTACAGCATCTTCTTCTAAGGACCATAAAATATCATCAATGACCATCAAAAAATCTAATTTTCTAAGAATCAACTAGGAGAATATCTCGCAAGCAAAGTTTTCACGGTTGTTTCAAACGCAAATGAAAATAAGTACTTACAAAAATGAAGAGATTTACAGAAAATTTTGGTACAAAAAAACCCTCAGACACATCACAGGGGCCTTTTTCTACTTTTGCACTTGGTGACATTGATGTTACCAGTAGCACACACCAGTCCTCATACTTTTACCTGTCAGTAAGGAAGGCGCATATAAGACTCTTGGCCTCGTTAGACATCTCCACTTCTGAGGGAAAGTTGAGACAGTTCCTGTGATCCATAATTTTCCCATAAGTTCCTACTAAAGAGTCTGCATAAAAGGGTGTGTCACCTGCAAAGGAATTTCAACATAGATGTTATATCTGAAGATGAAATACTTGCTAGTTGATATTTTTTCGCATGCATACAAACATACTGAAATAAAGGTACATGAATCACATCAAGTGAAAGACAACTCCAATTTCCAAATACATCCTCAATGAATAAATCATATTTAAGATCGGCAAATAACATGGACATAGGAACATGTATGAATGTGTAATACAAATTATAGCCATGTTTACTTTTATTGTAAAAGTTTTCAGAATTTGCACAAAAATAAAGTTAGCCATGTTTACTTTTATTGTAAAAGTTTTCAGAATTTGCACAAAAATAAAGTTATCCTTAATTTCATAGCAACTTTCTGTCTGACCACCATTTCTACAAATTTTCTGACCAACTTCTAATGAATATGTTTGAAGAATTTTTATAATGGTTCTTCAAGTCACATTGCATAGATCAGTAACAGATAATATCTGAAAACAACATAGTAATACAGTCTATTGCAATTAAACAGCATGTTTCACACTAAAGTGAACTATTCCTCTAGCCTTGACTAAGAGGGATGGAAATTCTACTGATAGGTGTATTTATCTAGTTTGCAGGAATTTCCAAATTAAGCTGTTAGGGGATACTGATCAACATTTCATATTAACTAACTGAACAAATTTTAATATAAACTTACAGACGAATACTTCATATGAACTTACCGACCAACATTTCATAAAGGAAGACACCAACTGACCACCAATCACACTCGCGACCGTAGTAACCAGGTCGGCCCTGAGACTGGAGTACCTCTGGGGAGATGTAATCAGGTGTGCCTACTGCCGTGTCTGATCGAACCATCCCATCCTGTCAACATAACAAAACTATGGAGTCATATGGGCCAAGAAAAAAATTACATAGTGAGGGCAAAAAAAAACATTTCTGAAAAAACAATTTAAAGCCCAAATAATATTAGATTTATTCAAAGACTACATGTGGTGAAACAGCTTATTCATAATAATGCTACAGTATCATAAAAGTATGATGAACTATTGATCCAATTGGTGAATATTGTTTTGACCAGTAGTGGTTATCCATACCTTGTCCATCCTCATACAAGTCCCAAAGTCAGCTAGCTTCAAATGTCCACACGAGTCCAATAACATGTTGTCGGGTTTCACATCCCTAGGGAAGACGATGTACTCAGTTAAGTTATATATGTATACAACTCAATCATAGCCAACAATGAATATTGTCTGTACATGTCATTCTGGGGAAATTTAGTCCAGAAAATAATTTTTACAGTCACAAATTCTATTCCTTTTTTGCTGACAATTTTGCTATTTATAAACATATTTTTCTTTTAAAAGAACTAGGAATCAAGATTTAGGATATCTAATTCACTTTGACAAATTCTTTTTTTTATTAAACATGTGAATGCATAAATGTGGAGAATTTTCTCGAATCACATACAAATATTGGGTCAAAAATTAATGGCTTGACATATTCTTCTGCAACAATACCTCAACAAACTCCAATAATTATGAAGAAATATCTTGAAATTTAAGAAGGCCATTCTTACAATTTTTTTAAATAATTTCTTAAAAGCTAAATATCCGAGAAGACCTAAAAGCAGGTTTGATCTGTTAAGGTGGTGAGAAGGTCTACTACCTGTGTACAAATCCCATAGAATGAATTGCATTGAGAGCAAGGACCACTTCCGCACAGTAGAACTTGGCCCACTTCTCTGGAACATCGTAGTTACTCATGAGGTTGACTAGATCTCCGCCAGGCATGTAGTCCATCACCATGTACAGGAACTTCGTGTCTTGAAATGCAAAGTGCAGCTGCAAGAAAATGATCAAAAGTAGTCAGAATTTCGTGTTGTATTATTAATTGCAGTTAGAGGAGAAAATGTCCATGTTTCTATCTTAACCCTGCTGATAAAGAACACATCTTAGATATTGGAGCACTCAACATATACTGTCAGAACTAACTTCAACTCCAAAAGACGATAGATAGGTAACCAAGTCTTGCATGCAACTTAATTACATGTACACGTTTTTAGACACTGTTTTTTTCTAATATTTCTTAACCTTTACAGATGAAAATGAAAGTCATTTGTTTAAGAAGTTGTAAACTTCAACCACACTAAATTAAACTTATTTTTTTAACTCTAAATAATGCTAAATTTGATCAAAGTTATTGCTTGTTTTGTAATTAGATATCAGTGATAGAGTAACAGAATGATACCTCACAACCTTTTATTGAGCTGTAATTCATCAAATAATTAATATTTTCACTGTTGGACACAATTTTTTCTAAAGAAATTTTCTGTACTTTTTACAGCTACATTTCTTTTATAAATAATAAGAATGCATTTCCACTCCTGAATAATTAGACGAGACACATTTTACGAATATTTCACCATTCAGAAACAACTAAACACACCTGAACAATCCATAAACTGTTTGCATTTGCCATGATTTCTCTCTCTTCCCAGTAGAACGCCGATTCTGATCGTTTTATCTGAAACACAGTGGAGAAAACTTGTTTTAAACCACACATCATCATGGTCACAAGTCTGCTATATTCATACATTCATAAAATCATGTATCAACAGAACATCATTTAATAGATTATCACCAGTTGGAGAGATTGACTGATGAAAACTAAAAACTGTGTTAAGACCCTACCTTTAAAGACAGGGAGTGGTATCAATGAAAGGGGAGGAAAAACAGCCATAGGCCTGTATGAGTGAAACCATTCTAATGCTTAAACTTAAATTAGCGCAATCTATAGCTGTTAACATTCAGTGTTAAGCAGTTATTTTCTTACTTTTTTAAAACATTGACAAGTTGGTTTGAACACATATCTAAGTCTTAGCACAAGTCAGTTTTACGACAGTTTGGTTTTCAAAACTATTGAGCCTAAATGTGGATTGCCTTATGTAGTCCTGAAAACTAGAAAGGTATTTTTTTTCGTAAATAGACGGTAACCTAAAACATGATTTATTTAATTAATTTCACAGTATTTAATTAATATTTCTCCTTCTATTTTAAATAAACAATCCTCAGCTTTTCCAAAGCAAAATCAATCACCTCCAAAAGATGACTCATAATCAGCTTGAAACATAGTGGAACCACAGTACAATTAACTGTAACAACGTTTAGTATTTAACTTGGTATTTCAACGGTTTTAGATGGTGTCCTGGAATTGCTGCAGACTGCCATTAGTGAACAGAAGCACCGAAACCTGCAACCCATTATTAAGTTGATGGCCGACGAGATTACTGATTAAACTGCACACACAAACTCTGTGTGACAAAGCAGTCTCTATCATCTGTAACATTCACCAGGGGAAATGGTGACAATAAATGATTCATGATAAAAACCATGATGACAGTTTAAAATTCTTTAAATGCTTGGTATTTTTACTGTCAAAGAACAGTCTGTAGATTTTCCAAGAATGGATGTATTTCAATTCAAAAAGAGAAATATTTGTGAAAAGAAAAAGTAATGAACTTGCTTGAAAAAAAACCTTCCTTAAATTTTTGATTTTTTTTATATATAGAAAAGTGGTATGTTTTGTTGTGATATTGGAAGATTAACATTACTGTGAACTAGATGCTGAAGTGTCAAAACAATTAACACTGCAACAATCATTACCTTATGGTTTTATAACAGTAAACTAACCTTGTTATGTGAGATTTTGACCAGGTTAGTAATACATCTGTAGACAAATACTTAAATATTTCACTGTATTCCTAGTGGTCATATATGTACAGTGTAACGTTTGATAACTTGATGGTACATGTACTCTTTACTTTCAGAAATGGAGAACTTCAAATTTTAAAGGACAATAACCGTTTCATTAATGCACAAAAATAATTGTGCATTAGATTTTGTCTATGAAATCTGGACAAAAATCTACTGCACTGAATCCAGGTAATGGTTGACATAGGGTGCTGGCATGAACTGTCAAAGAAACATGTTCAATATAGTAACACGAAATAAAACTGTGTGGAGGTGGAACCCCATAATGATGATTTAATTAATGGATAGATTAAGTGTTGTACTTTTGCATTTGCAAATGAAAGGATCATGCTTAAGGTACACAGATAACAGTTTCTTTTCAACACCTAAAGTCTACCTATCAGAAATATAAACATAAACACATACTCAGTAATATAAACAAAGGAAACAAAATACTAAATAATAGTTTCTGTTTTCCATATTGAATTTTTTTTAAAGTCTTAATTATATTAAATTTTGATAACCAAAAGTACAATCATGGAAATATTATCTATTTTCATTCTTGTAAAACATTGTATACATTAATATCACTTTCACAGCTTCATGAATATTTCTAGAGATGACCCAAACCACATCAATGTTTCTGTTTGGCCTAATGGTAACTTCCAACAATTTGATATTATTCTGGTGCAAGCCTCTCAAAGAATCAGATTAATCATAGTCAGTAATATTCTTGAACATCATCAATAGGCAGATTCATCATTCACTGCAGAGCATTACACCTGTATTCTGGCATCGGACGAGAACATCTAAGCACCTAGACTGCTGGGCCCAATTACTGCTGATTAGGACAAAAAGTCAATCTTATTGTGCTCATCTTTACTTCGTCAGAGTTGTGTATTGTTGGGTCTGCAAATGTACCAATGTCCAAACCTATCATGTTTGCAAACAGTCTGTAGAAGTGTTTGTAAGCATTAGGAATGTAAATTGTTACTACAAACACCGATAATTATCTCCAGGTATCAGTGATAGCATGAACGTATTGATCCTCTCTGTATCTATATATATCGGTAACACTTAATAAGAATTAGTCTATGTACACTGTTGTATATACTTAACATGAATTACTATCAAGGTACGGTATATATATTTGTATCTAAAAACATCAATAATGAGTAGTCTAGATATCAAAAAACATTGATACTGTCTAGATATCAGAAACAAAAATATTGAGTTACCGTCTAGATAATAGAAAAATACCCATACTAAGTTGCTGTCTAGATATTAAACACCAATATTCAGTTATGTTAAGTTGTCAGATGCACCAATGTGACAAACTGTTTCTTTTATAACAGAAACATTAATTAAATAGGTATCAGACAAACTAGTATGAGTTACTCCCTGAGTACATTTTGTATATCTAATAGAGGCACCAATATTAGTTTCTGTCTAAGTATCAGTAACTTACCACCTACAGTATTTGACAGAATTAGTGCCCCTCTTCTTTTTTCAGCATTTATTGATTACTATCTCCCAAACATGTTGCATTCTTGCCCTTTCTGGTTAACAAAATATATCACTACATGCATACACTTCATACCCGACTGAAGAATTCTACCTAGGAATGGGTCCAGCACTTTTGTTGCTTTACAGCAATTGGCACAATCCATGTTTTGTTATCTTAATAAATGCCCCCTTCAGTCAATTTTTTCATGTGCCATGCATGTAAATTATGGCAAATACAGTTTTTCAAATAACAGAAAAACTAAACAAGAAAATTATACACATAATCATACATAATATTTTTCATATGAACTGGTTCAATTCTCTTGCCTTCCCTTAAAGTTCATTTATACATTCATCAATATCAGGTTCCTCTTTGACACCGATCGTTTGGTGGCCGACCAAAGATGCTATTGGATAACACTAAAATGTATACTGGGACAAGATTTAATCTTAAAGTCCTGCCAACCCAAATAACTGAACTGGAGTAAGCATACCTTTCATCTGGACTGATCTAAAGTGACTGGTAGGGGAATCAGAGTTCACACACAACCAAGTAAAATATATCGGTGCAGTCAACATACCAGGCAAGTGATAATGATGACAACAACACAGTTGAAAAGTTAACAGGAAGAGAAATTAATGACAACACACAAGTACAGGTAACGCAAAAAGGAAAAACGATATCAATATTTGCTTCAAATTAAAAGATGGCACGTTTTTAGTATGAAACCACCTGGCTATGGACACATATCTGTCACGAGTCAACTGATGTGAGTGTGTGTGGTACTCAACATACTTTGGGCCAGACGTGTATATATTTGTACATTCCTATGTACCATTGCAATGGGAATCAATTTTCACATCATTTGGATGATGAGTTTCTATTTGTGGTCGAGTGAGATGGGACAGTAATGAGTTCCCCAGTCGTGTCCCTGTGAACATCGTTAGGCCGTTCCATGTTATTATGGTGTGGCTATTTTGGGCCCCCAACTCCTCTAAATCATCACAGTCATGTTAATTAGGTTCATGTAAATCTGTGTTATCTTTCACTTACCACTAAGGAATTTATAACATACGTAATCAAAGAGGTGGTTACACGTAATATCTTCGTACTTCAGTTTCTCATCAGTATTTCCTCATCCAATTTTACTTGAACAATTAAAACAAGACCAAACTCTCTCCTTTCTATTCGTTACTAAATCTAATTGTTCCTATTTCTGTTTAAATGAACCATTTCTTTATTTAATTATGTGATTCCACCACTGTAATAAAACCAGTTCTTTCTTCTCTGTAAATATTAAAATTTCACCTGAATACAAAATTCTCTAATATATTAATAAAGGAAATGAACTAGTGTAAGACAATAACTTTTTATGTATATAGGGTACACAAACACAACAGGTGCCTTGACCAAACGAAGCATAACCTCGGATATATATCATACCCAAAACGTCGAGGAGAAGAAATGGGTCATTAGTACAGGAGATAAAGAGTTTTGAGGTCTGATGTGGTAGCCCCTACAAAGAGGAAGTGAGGATTAAGGCTAATCCTAAAGAGGAAATTTTCTTAAATGCTGTTCATGCCTAGACTGAGAATTGAATCAGCTACAGTGATGTGTACTCAAGATGAATCAAAACACTCACCATTTCGTATTTACTTAGCAGCTTCATGGCATACACCTTCCGTGTTGATTTGTGCCTCACCTGTAATACAAACAAATCAAGGCTACACTGTTTTCTTTCACTGAAAATAGCGGCTTGAAAAGTTCACTGAACATAGCAGCTTGAAAAGAAAAGTGTCTTATTTTTATCCCTCATTTATAGTCTGTATCAAGAGGACTACCAAGCCTGTAAATTTCATCTTTTCTTTTATTTGAATCACCAAAAGACGAAAAAAGTCTTTACCATTTTAAAAAAAAAGTCCCTGCATAAAACCTTTCTTTCAAAATTTAACAGTGGATTCATAGCGCTTTGCTCATATTGTTCATATAACTTTTATCTTGGGAACTAAATAATAATTAAGGATCAAAATTATACTGTTCCTTTTTCACTGTTGACTTTGAAGCTAGGAACAACAATCAGCTAAATGAGACAAACTTACCAGTTGAACTTCCCCAAACGCACCCCTTCCAATGACTTTGACAACCTCAAAGTCATAGTGTCGCATACGACAGCTGTTGACGAATTCCACTGCTTTCCCATCTACAGAATACACGGAAACACTTGTTAGTGAACTAGTATCAGGATCATTTTAAATGTGAAATATCATTTTAGCCAATTTATGTACATCAGACTAAATTCTCTGCACAAGTATACGGCATTGAAAAGTTTGTCAAAATTTCCTACTTTTCAGTGGTCTTCATCTGTCAATAGCAAAACTTGTTGCAAAGTTCTTGCTTACTGGTAATAACTATTTAGTGTTTTTAAAGATTAAATTTGGGCTTCCATTGTCATCTTTTTTTGTAGTAGCAAACTGCAAAAGTCCTTATCAATAAATCTGTAATCATCAAACTAAGATAAACATTACTACCCACTCATAATTGTTTCATGTTTTGAATTATTCTGTACATCATTTATTTTTCTTAAACATTTAACATGGGTTAGGGTAATTTAAGTACTTTCCTTAAACTGAACCTGGGCTAAATTATTGAAGCCTGGTCAAAGCTTAATAACAAATTTTCATTTTAACAGTTTTCAAAAATATTATTCCTGTCTATCAGTGTCCAAACACAAAGGAGTGATAATATAAGCACTGTGTAGATACCTCTGATTTACAGTGACAGTTATCCTGGTATATACATTATATCATTATCACACTTACATTTGCCCACGAACTGGTCAACACTCTTGTTTCTCCGGATGGCGGGATAGTCCAAGTCTGCGATGAGTGAAGACAACCCATCCTGAAAGTGAACAAACTTTCATCAGAGGAGGACAAACCAACCTTTAGATCTGGACATTGCAAACCAATATCATTTGCTGAATAGCCTCAATAGGTAAAACACTTGTGACATGTCAAATTATTCAAAAATTCATTGTTACAACTACATATGGTAATATTGTATTAATATGATGATTAATGGATGTACTTTCACCTCATTAGATGAACTTTCACCTCATTAGATTTACTTTTCCACCAATAACATGATTTTTTAACCCTAAAAAATTACCTTTTTCCCAATTAGATGTACTAATTTCCAATTGCAGCAATTTTATAATGGTTTTTAATAAATCAGTGCCATATTTTTTATGTTCTTACTTTGGTTTGTTTTTTGTTTTATTGTTGGATTTTTCCGACAGTTTTTTGAAGTTTAAAAGTTTTTTTTCCAGCACAATATTATATGCCATATGATTCAGGGATATGGACAACAGAAAAATTAGGGTTACATTTTAACACAACACATTTATAACCAGTTGAATAAAGACGGTATTAAACATGCCCTTTTTTAATATTCATATAGAAGTAACACCAGGTACATTAGTCACTCACTTGTGTAAAACTGTTTAGAATGAAGAGTCCCAGTACAGGTAGGGGTATGTGATGGACCAATCAGAGCCCTGTTATATTTGTATGTTTATATAATGTGCCAGTAGTGATCTGGCTGATGCAGATCAAGGTTTGTGTGATGCAACCACCAGAACAAAACCATTTCACCGGCAGTCTGATGTAAACTGGAGATACGCGCTCAGTTTCCTTTATCAATCAATGTGCATGAAATAAACACAACCAGTTAAGTTTGAAGGAGCTAGAAAAAACCAGTGCATATGGTGATAACATATAACTATAAGAGTTTGGATGCTGTCTGCAGCGCTAGAATTCACTGGAGGGTGACACATGTTTTGTATTTCTGTAACAGATTTATATCATATATGTACACAGGTGTGTCTTTTACCTACAATGTCTTTCTATTAGAAACTATATACATGTATATATTTCATTTACTTAATGCTTTTCTTCATCTTTACATATAACATGTTAAACATTAAATGTATTCTTTATTTACTCTTTAACGAGAAAAAATACACTTTTTTAACTATTTCAAGACATTCACTTAGAAAAGGTTACAAGAACTATATGCATCCCATTTATTCTAACAAATCTCATTTTTATGTTAAATCTGAAAATACAATTAATAAACCTATATTTTCTTATTCCCCATTTGCAGTTTTGAGCACTGACTTTCAACACAGTAAATTGGAATTGGAGAAGGAAGGATTATTTAACGAAGAATTTAAAATCTTAAATCCCGCTTTATTGTTAAAATTGTAATGATCTCAATTTATTGTTTTATAAAAAGCGTTTGTATGGAGTGACATTCCATTTGTGTTTGTAAACAGTATGACACATCAAGATCACCTCATGCGTTAGGTAAACATCAACAGTCCACATATTATGAATCAACGTTATGACCATAAACTCGGCAGATTTTCTATGAATGTTGGACACCAGGCTTGGTCCTGACCACTTCCTGTGCATGGCGTCACACACCGGGGAGCTGGAGTGAGGTCCAGTCTTATCTGGACTGACCACTCCAAGCCCACTGGTACACACTAGGTGCTTCAGTCCAGTATAATCACTCGGCTGATAATCACCATTCAGGTGTTTATGGCATTTACACTAATAACACTGTCACTTGTTGTGGAGGAGGATCAAGGTCTGGGTCACAACTGTCAAACGGGTCTAGGTACACACCACGCCAAACTGGGGTCTAATCACCACGGGTGTTATCTACTTGTATACCCGGCCAAACTTGGACACATTTCCGCGGTCAGTTATTACCACTCTCAGCATACACAGGAGTATTTCACATACCATCCTAGTCAAGAGTCTCAATAACTGAATAGTCTTAATCAAAATGAATTCTTAATTACAACTATAGGGGCATAATCTTGTTCAATATTTGGGAGAGGTCTCAGTGATTTAAATATACTTTCAGATGCATGTGAACAGATGTATTTTAAGGGCGATTTTTCAAAACTGATTGAAAAATTATTTTTGTGTACAAATTGATATCTAGCTGTAGTTATTGACAATTGTTTTTAATCAGAGGATGCTGTAGCCATTGATGTTAGCCTTTGATTATCATGCAATGAACAAGTACAATATCCTTTTACATATATCTAAATGGCGGTGCAGCTGGTATCCTGTGTTTATTTGACAATAGTGAAAACGGATCTATGCATACAGGACATTTAATGAATAACAGACTTTGTCTTTCACCGTCACTTTCAATTTAGTGAATCTGACACCAACAAGTCTCCTCCCCAGCCCTTACTATAAAGGAAACTGGTGCTTACAGACTGACCCTATCAGTGATATTAAAACATTCAGTTCAAGTTGTTAATCATTATAAGGACATTTCTAAAATGTCCAAGATTTCATAGGAAAATCAATGGATAAACTAACTTCATATAAGTGACCACAATCAGTAAATGCATGTTTTCTACCTTTGTTTATATGAATTTGCGTAACAACAGTTGCGTTCTAGTACCTAGTACTTCGAATACATCCTCATTACAAGAATAAGCCCATAACCTCAATATTTAATACGAGACTTTGACAAATATTCATAATTACTCCAGTGTACCTTTGAATGCTATTAAATGTCTAGTATCCAAATCCAGTTATAATATAAAAGAAGCAATCAACTTATTCATGACCAATTCTTGACCATTGTCCAGATCCGCCTGCCATAGTATACATTTATTTGTAAATGGGGACAGGACAGGCGACTGTAAACTGGGCAACTTTCACTGCGTGTTCACCTGGCTGTCAGAAGGTGATACTTTCATGTGCTGTTGTGGAAAGATTAAGCTGTATCTCAGAAAAGGGATATATTTAATATGACCGATACATTTGTAAGAAGTGAATGGCCTACAAGGTTGTGGAATGTCTGGAATGTGATCCTGATTCTCTGTCTCCCTGCATGGCTCTCATGTCTATGACATTTTTTCAAAGTCTGGTTAGCTTATCTACTGTCAAGTTGATTTTTTCACCTAGAAAACTTGTAAGGAAAATGTTGAATCTTAAGAGGACTTTATGTAAGGAATGAAAATGATAAAAATAATAAAATCAAAATATGACTAGATCTCATGAAAAAAAATACTTCACATTACGAAAAGTGTATAACCTTGATACTGGAAAAAACATGGAGAAAAACATTTCCCTTATGTTTTGTTAGCTTTGTCTATGATACATATGAACATCACCATAACATTATCCCTTAGCAGCCAACTGTCTTCATATGTGACAAAGCAATGTTTTGATTCTTACCAACATCTAGAAACTTACGCATTATTTATTGGATATCATATCAAAATCCCTTTATATTGTTCATGGTCCCCCAGGGGTTTTGTAATGATGATGTTTGACAGTGCTTTTTATATCAGCATTGCGTGTAAAGGGATTCAAAACAAACCAGCAGGACACCAGAAAAGATTAAAATGTTTAGTAAACAACTAGCTCCCATAAGCTAGCGAGTTCTTGATGGGTTATGGGGCTCCAGTGTCCAAGAGAGTGTTATTAGGATATCTCAGTTATCTCAACCCAGACTGGAAGCTAGCTGCATACAAATAATAACATTTAAATATCTACATCAGGATGGAGTCCATATCAAATCAGCATATCACCACTGCAGACACTTATATAAAACATGATCAAATATCAATGTTCAAGTTTCCTCCAATCTCCTCTAAATCAGTTTATATACTATTAACTTACATTTTTATGTATGATATCAAGACAATATTTGTGGTAAACATTTGTGTGTGTTTAAATCTAATAAATGCCCTTGGCACTTTAGCAATTTTGAAAAATTGGAATAATTGTAAAATCTTCAAAATTCTAAGAAAATGGTCATTTTGGACAATACATTTGCTCTTTACAGTCCTAAAATCATGACGAGAAAAAACATGGAGTGATTATAAGGGCTGAAGTGCTTATTACCAAAAATACGGTAAAATGAAATTTTGTTTATAATAGTTTTCAACTTTCATATGGAATTTTATCATCCTCTCTAATTTACGTTTTGACTGAATCAGCCCTGTGCAATTGTTTATTCCAGAGTTGCTTGCAATTTTTTGTGTGTGAAAACAGTAATTTACAGCACTGTTGGATATTCTGGTATGCAAAACAATATTGGAACGTATACGTACATGTATGTATATGTACAGCTTTTTAGCAGAAAAACGGCTAAGTCAGTTTTGTTCAAATGTCACTACCAGGTAATTCTGATGGGCAGTTTAAAACTTCTGATTTTAACATATCCAATTAGTGGTGATTGATTATGATATATCATTGATATTCATATATATTCTCATGAATAAACTCATACAACGGGGAATAAATCAGTACTGATTCTCACAAGATGGACATTTTGTTTTCCCCATAACCTTAAATGCAAATTTAACAATGAAATGTTAGAAAAATAAACCACAGACAAGACCAGATGGAACCTACAGCAAGTAAGGGAGGAAGCATAATTAGCCGACACTGTATACACTAATTGATATTAGCAGACAATATACAACCATGAGTCATATCCAAATAATTCTCCATGGATAACATCCTATAGTAAACGTGTCATTGCTGCCATGCCACAGTGACACACTCTGGTAATGACTAGGAAATCTGATCACGCTCAGACCCCCTCTGAATCATTACTAGTTCAGCAATGATGATGTTAGATACCAAAGAAATCCTTTCACAGTTATATATATGTACACCCTGAATAAAAAGAAAATTCCAGGAATTGCCAAAATTCTGGATTCTGCCTCCAAATTAATACACACTTCATGGCTTAAACAGTTTCACAAGTAATGCTTGTAAGGTAAATTATCAAGACTGAATATCATAACATTGAAAATCTATTAGCATTATCTTGGGGTCATAAGAGCATTAATG